GTGTGTGTGTGTACGTGCATGCATGCGTGTGTGTGTGTGTGTTGTCATCTTGTCATTTTGGCTATACACAACTCAGCAACCAAACTCGTGTGATGAGTGTTACCAAGTGTTATTGAGGTGTAAGGAGAGTAAATTATCATGTGATGTCATATATGCCCAAAAAGTGAGGTAAATACCGTTGTGATGAGTGTTACCAAGTGCTATTGAGGTGTAAGGAGAATAAATTATCATGTGATGTCATATATGCCCAAAAAGTGAGGTAAATACCGTTGGAGCCTGAATGCCATTTTCAACCAATCTGCATGGCGGAGCATGCATCTCATCGCCATGCACTTTCTGCATTTCCAAAATAGTAAATACCTGGGCTGCTCCCTGGGCCGCCCGGCGGCCTGGCCGTCCCCCGGGGGGGGTGCCGGGCCGCCTGGCCAGTTGTCGCACTGTAGGTTATTTTTTTTTTATTTTTTTTTTCGACGCTGGGGCCCTTTTTGACCCCTTCATAGACCGCGTGGACCGCGAAAAAAAAAAGGGGGCCGGTAGGCCCAATTTCACCGATTTGAAATCAGGCCGCATCTGGATCGTCGATCTCGAAGATCGACGGCCCAGATTGCACCGATTTCAAATCGGTGAGGGCGGGAACTACCAGCCCCCGTTCCCTCCCCCGTGCTGAAGATGTGGCCTCGACGTCCCCCCTTCCCTGCCTTGCAGCACTGTGTGTCTGCCGGCCTTCGACGCGCAACTTCAACGTGCTTCTTCGACGCMCCCCGCCAGCACCTGCCAACGCCCGCCATCGCGCGCAACCCCGCCGTCGCCCGCCAACGGCCGCCTTCAACAAGGTAAGGGACTTAGTTGGGGGGAGAGAGAGAGAGAGAGATCTTCTTCTTCTTTTTTTCTTCTTCTTCTTCTTCTTCTTCTTCTTCTTCTTCTTCTTTGCCCCCATTTCGAGCCCCCCTTCCCACCGTCCTCCCTTCCCCTTCGCCATACGAAAGGATCTCTGCTACCCGTTAGCCGACCATCTCTTCCAACACTGTACCCCTCTACCGGGGCATCCTCCAGCCTCACCAGGTGAACTAGCCATACTCGTTGCGCAGTGTCCTTGGTGGACACCCAGTCCCCCTCTTGCAGTTGCGGCCCCCTGCGCAGGATAGGGAGCCAAGCCACAGGGAAGGCCTCCAAGAGTTCCTCCAGTGCTGTTTCAGAGTTGTGGCAATAGCGGAGCTTCTCTCTCATTTGTTCCAGTGTTTTCCAATCCCTGTTGGAGTCATCCCATAGGTCCCCCACCCGGGTGATCCCGTTTTTTACCCATCCTTTCCATGGGGTGTCTGAACTACAAAAGATTTGACTGTGCGAATTCGTGATCCACCGGTTCCCAGGAAGAGGCTGTCTTGCCACCTCTTCCCAACGCCCCAGGGGTGGGCGATCTGGGGGGGTGAGTTTTCTCCAAATTATGATCAATCGCGGCCACAGGGCTTCTCGTGGGCGCCCCCCCGGGACCTTCCTCAGGACCTTCCAATATCTGTCTTTTTATCACCTCTGCGGGTCTATGTTTGGAGGAGATTGCGGGGCAAGATGTGCGATCTGTCTCATAGCCAGCGGTTCCCACTGCAGGGACGATCCGAAAATCAAACGCACAAACCATAACAGGCTCAATGCCTGCGTAGGGGGATCAAGTATGCCTAACCCTCCCTGGGCTTTGGGCTGGACCACTGAGTCCCATGCCGCCCTACTCATGGCGCTGGTATTCTGGCTGTCTCCTCTCCACAAGTAGGATGCCACTTTTCGTCCGAGGGCTTTCTGAGCCGCCTCACTGACAGGCCATAGGACAGACTTATGCCATAGTCTGGCTAGAACCACGTTATTAATTACAAGAGATCTTCCAAACAGGGATGTATTCTTGTGGTCCCATTGGGTAAATTTGGCAAGCGCTGCGGCCGTGATCCACTCGTCATTATCGAGCGGACGGCCGTGCACCGTCAACTTTACCCCCAAGACCCTGACTGGGCATCCTAGGGAATCCATGTAATGCGTGGTTCCTCCGGGGGACGGCCCCCCTGGTGGTGGATCCACCATCCCAGGCTCTTTTGCCCCCAGTTGATGGTCATATCCGAGAGGGCGCAGAGTCTGTCCATCAGCGTCTGAATTTCCTCCATATTCTCAGGGGTTCCATCTGTCATTATTGTCAGGTCGTGGGCGAAAAGCGAACATATCGGAACAGCTTCGTCCGGGATTCCGGACAGGTGAATCCTAGTCAAGTTCTTGTTGTTTCGTAGGTTAGCTGATAGGGCCTCCATTATCAGCGCAAATAGGAAGGGGGCTATCGGATCGCCTTGCCTGGCTGAGCTGTGAAGTCTGATCTCTGGGGCTAAAGAACCGTTTATCTGAACCTTGGTGGTAGCGTTCTGGTGCAGGATCCTAATCCACCTTCGGAACGACGGTCCAAAGTTTAGCTTTTCAAGGCATTTGTCCAAGAAGTCCAGTCGACATGGTCATAAGCCTTCTCAAAGTCAATAAAGACTAACGCAGCGTCACTTTTAGATATGCGCGCTAAATCGATCACGTCGCCTCAAAAAATAAAAATAAAAATCCTTGCTGTGTTTTTGCGTCGCCCGGTTTTGCCGGGCGGATTTCCCGGGCCCAACCAGCCGGGGCCCGCCCGGTCGGGCGGCGGCCCAGCTTAAGTAAATACACATTCAACTTGATTCAAGCATGCACGATCATGTAACTAATATGAGGAAGTAAGGTCAGGCAGCATGCGGCGGAGGCCAGTTTTATGCTGCGGCGCTCAGTAGACTCCTGCGCCTTTAAAAGAGAGCTGTACGCACTCATGCTGTGTTGGGGTATAGCACGATCTCTGGTAACCGTCAGTGAAAGGCTGTTATTTTCCCAGTAGAATGGTGCCAGTCGGCCGCAACCCTGAAACTTCGTGAAAGGCTGTTATTTTCCCAGTATAGCACGCCTACTCTGGTAACCGTCAGTGAAAGGCTGTTATTTTCCCGGTATAGCACGCCTACTCACAACGGATCCAAGCGCACCTGGTCCGTTTCGATTCACACGTCGAATGGTGCCAGTCGGCCGTAACCCTGAAACTTCGTGCCGGCCACTCCCAGGTTGGACCCGGCCTCGGCAGTTGAGAAACTTCGTGCCAAAAAAAAAAGAAACCGACACGGCAGACAAACGAAACAGCAAACCACTGCGTTGGGCCCACACCGATTTTCCCAACAGTGGCAGCGGTGTCTCGTGTGGGACGCTCACGCGAGACCCACTGTTTCCTTTGGAGTATTAGAGAAAAAAGAGTAAGGAAAATACGAAAATAGTGATGAAGCAACTGCATCTGTGTAGTAACAACAACAACAAAAAATCATAGCTCATACTAGAATACTTTTGAGAAACTGGGAAATAAATTGATGTACAAACTGGGCAAGGTATGCGTGACGAGACCATACTCCAAAGAGCTATTATAGTTTTTAGTACTTTTACTTTTTACTGAAAATAATAAAACACCTACGCCAATGCGGTCATCATATTTGAATGACCCTGACTGATACTTCATTTCTTTGTCGCTTTGACTTCAGAGCTCAACCCACAACGAACTGAACTCGTGACCTTGTACCCAATCATCCCGTGCTAGTAAAACATTAACAAGACTTGCTCCCTAATTAGCGCGGTGTGCCTGTCGGTCTCTGTGTGTTTATGTGCGCACCTGCCATTCATCTTTCTGTGTGGGTGTGTATGTTTACTCCTGCCATTCGTTTTTGTGTGCATGTGTGCCTGTGAGTTTTTTCGGTCTCTGATGTCCGGTCACTTGTCTGGCTGTCTACCTGCTTGCATGTTTGGCGTTGTGCATCTCCGTGGATGTCAGAAATTCAATCTGTTTGTATATGTGTTTCCTCTGTGTGTGTCTGTGTGTTTTGGATTTTCACCACAACAGCCCGTGTGTGTGTGTGTTTGACAGTGTACACTCTGCGTGTGTGTATGTGACACTATGTGTGTGTGTGTGTGTGTGTGTGTGTGTGTGTGTGTGTGACAGTGTCTGTGACACCGTGTGTGTGTGTACATGGCACTGTGTGTGTGGCACTGTCATGCTGTGTGTGTGTGTGCCCCCATCGATATCTGTGTGCCTCTGACCCTGGTTGATGGCTGTATGTATTTGGTCGTGCCTTTGTTGTTCATGCATGCACAATTCGAAATGCAGGAAGTTCATTTCTCTGATGGGTTCACGTTTGTTTCTTGTTTTTTCTCCAGGAACGAGTTGCTGACTGCTTAGAAATGTTCCTGTGGATACTGGAAGACATGAGATGCAGCCCATGCGAGGTAACCTCCACTTGCCCACCCACTTGCTGCTCTACCTCCCCACAGCACCATGTGCTTGCAGCAGTTTTATGTCAACATCCCCGTGGCAGGTGACGCTAGTAAGTGGGGTTAATGGTTTTCTGCTGCGTGCTCATTTGTTATTGTCCCGGCAATGTTTTGACGCCTGTCATCCCCTGCGAACTTGGACGGGTCTACCTTCCTGGCAATGTCTTGAGGCCCGTTTTCTGTGTCTATGGAACATGCTTCTGTTGTTGGCCGCATGCTTCCCCTCCTGTACGGTCTACTTGATCCTCATTCACTGTATGAAGAGGATCATCAGAAGGAGTGTGAGACCTGGAATGTAGTCCCGTCCAATCGTCGACTCTTGTGCACTCGAAACTGGAAATTTCAAATTTTGTTTTCTTTTAAATCTTTTACATGAATTCAAAGTGACTCCCCCTTACCCCTCCCCCCTCCCCAGGTTCGTCCACAAACACCCATCCCTCGTGGCCT